TTTTTCAATTAAATGTTATTTCTGGGTTGTCATAATAAAGTTTAACATTAGATCTTTAATGAAGTACTTTTTACAAATGCGCTTTTACAAATATCAGTGTTTTTAGTTTTGATTTGTTAATATATATATATATATATATATATATATATATATATATATATATATATATATACTTTTTTATAATTCAAATGTGTTTTTCATCCTGGCAGTCTGGGATTTATGTCAAAGGGAGAATTTCAGTAAATCAGACAACAACTACACGCTCAGTGTGCAATGAACTTTAGAGCTAAACGTCCACATGAGAATCAACTGCTTTCACGTGTGTTTTCTTCGCAGTGGTCATCGTTCTGGGGTGCGTTTTCCAAACAGGGACGTAACTCACGGCTGAACTATCATAGTACCATGCATCGGTTGGGAAAAGAACGATGTAGTGACGAGTGTTTCCCAAAACCCTGTCACAGATCCATCGCTTGAACCACGTTAGTTATAGCGTAAAACGCCCATAATGATGCTCTGAACGGGGCGGAGGAACAGCTTCTTTAGAGAAGAACCCAACCCAACCCCCCACCCAACCCAACTTTCCCTCTGTTCAAACGGGCGTCACGGTGGCCAGCGATTAGCGCTGTTGCCTCACAGCAAGAACCCCCCTGGTTTAATTCCCTTCCAAACCAGACGGCATTTCTGTGCTGAGTTTGCTCGTTCTCCCCGTGGTCGCGTGGGTTTTCCCCGGGTCCTCCGGTTTCCTCCCACAGTTCAAAAACAAGCACCCTAAACAATTAATCCAAATACTTTAGCTAAACTCTGAGCACACCTTCAACATCCATATCTAACACTTAGCTACAACAAGCAGGAGGGGGAGTCATCGAGATCTACCTGAGCTCAAACTCCCGTCTCGCCTTGCAACTGGAGGGAGCCCAGGGCTCGAGGATCTTATAAGCTCAGGGCTCTCTCCCGGGACAGCACGCCAAACTAGCTTTACTATCAATCATCAGCTAAGTGTGAACTCTTGAAATGTTCTAAATGAATAGGGCATAGGGGGGATAAGTGGGAATAGAACACAGCCAGGAACTATGGGTCTAACCACAGCTCCAGAGGTGTAGTTGCAAGTGCACAAGTTTGCGACGCAGTTTGCAAGTGCTCATTGTAATGATGGATGTGGAAATCGCCAAATGTTTGTAATGATGGAACTTGCGACTTAAGTTGTCTAACGATGGTTTTGGGAAACGCACCCCTGATCTTCATCTTGTGTTGTGTGTTTTTCTTCGCAGTGGTCATCGTTCTGGTCTTCATCTTGTGTTGGCTGCCGTTCCACGTGAGCCGGACGCTGTTTTCAGTGTCGGACTCCAGCACTGAGCTCTATTACATCAGTCAGTATTTTAATCTGGTGTCTTTAGTGCTGTTTTACGTCAGCGCTGCAGTCAACCCGCTGCTGTACAACATCATGTCTGCCCGCTACCGTGCCAATGTGCTGGCCATGCTGCATCTAACAGTGGGCAACACGGACGAGCTGCGCCACAGGGCCCGCACCTCCCCGCTGACCGCCTCACACTCCAGCACACACTTCTGAGCCTCCGCGCATCTACAAGACTCACTGATTGAGTGCATGTCAGATCGTCAGTTTCAGACCACTTCAAAATTGCTGCTCCCTCAAATAGCGCACTGTTTAGGGATATAGGCGATTTCACATACAGCCATTATGTTTTGCATTTGTGCATTTAAGATTCAGCCTTGCTCTTTCTGTGTCTTCTGATAAATATCTGTGAGCAGACAGAGCAGCAGAGAGCTTCGCTTTGTTTACTGCATCCGTGTGTGTTTTCAGTTGTGTTTGAAAGGTTGTATTTTGTGGATATTGAATAAAAGGCTGTTCCTCTGATGCGGTGTTGTGTTTTATGAAAGCGATGTATGATGTTTTTTGGGTGACGGGAGTGTATGACTGATCATTCTCATCCACAGCATTTATGAAATGGATCTACAGATGCATTTGAATGTCAGGTAAATGATTTCTCTTTATAGCTTTATGCCAGTGGTTCTCAAACTGTGAGAAACTTTTTTTTTTAAGAACAGTAACCTGCTATTTTTAACTTTTAAAAGAACGTTTCAATTGAAATGTTGACATTTTTTTGTTTTTGTTTTTTGTTGTTGTTGTTTTTTTTTTACAAATAAGCACAGTACAGTGTTAATGTTCAGACTATTGTGAACATTGTGACTGACAATAATACATATTCTTTATAGTAGAAATTAATCTGCCACATTTTTGAACTGTACAAAGCTGTTGCTGCTTTACTGGGCCAACTACACTACTGTATTTCAATACTGCTCTGTATAGTTATACTTGGAGAGGCAATTGTTTTCTGAGGTTATACTTGATGGAAAAAGTTTGAGAACCACTGCTTTATGCTATTATAAACATTTATTTGTACTTTCTCGTATATTCAGAGATCGATTCACATTAGCTCATGCATTATCTCTGAAAAAATTTATTGCAATATTTTAAGAAAAAATGGAATGAAAAAATGAAAAATGTTACAAAAAAATAAAAATAGATAAAAAAAATTCCCTGTTTGGGTTACCAATATTTTTCTACATTTCTTTTGTTTTCAGGAGAAGAAAGCAATGTGGATGGATGGAAAGTGAGTTTTCATTTTTAGGTAAGTTAACAATTGAAATAATATCAAATGAAAAGTTTATTCACTGACATTTGAAGACATGAAGAGGTGAGCTGAGCAAAGAGACAACAATAGACAAAGGAGCAGGTAAACATTGAATTATTATTTTCTCCTTCTTATAGTCTTCTATTTATGACTTATTTGTCGTGTGATCAACCTTTTGGGCTAGTTGTAGATGTGTTTGGAAGCAATTCGCAACATTTTAATAATATTTTGGCAAATTGAATCAAATGAACGAAAAGACTGGAAAAAAGATTCGTTCATCTCGATGGACGAGACTCAAAGATCCGAGTCAATAAAATGATCCGAGCTTCCCATCTCTACTGAGAAGAAGATTGGAAACGGCGGTATTTACCAGCATGACACTTTATTTTTAACAAGTAAAGCCTATTTATTTAATCTTGGTTATTGTAATAACATTGAAGCTTGGGTGATTTCTTTCTAACAATTTCTAGTTCGCGTTAGAGTTTGATCTTTTTTTGCATCACTTTTCCAGGAACTCAGAGAGAATTAAACTAACTTGACCGTCAATTAATTTGCATATTTTCTAATCGCTTTTTTCATTCATATTTCAATAATGAACTATCACGACGACCATAGGCTAAATTATTCATTTATTTATTTGACAAATAAAAGAAAGAAGAAACTCATATCTATCTTAACTCAAACTCTTGCGTCGACCTGAACCTGTGCGTAATCAAACGCAGCAAGAGAGACTGATGCAGAGGCAGTTGTCAATAAATTCTTTGTCTTTGCCTCGGAAAGTCCACTTCTCATGACAGTAAACTTGTTCTGGAGGCTGAACCCGCGTTCAGCTGCCACACTGGAGATTCCTTGCCAGAAGCGGCCCAGACTCTACAGACAGACTCAGGCCAGATATGGTTAACAGGAATCGGGTTAGTGCTTTACAGCCGCATCCCAAACACGTGTGCGGGAGCGAGCTGCGGGCTCGGCCCGGACACTCGCCGATGTAGAGTTTAAATTTAAACGATAAAGGTAAGCAATCAGTCAATGTGCAGAATCAGTGTATGTGGTTACATAAATAATATATTAGCTTATCTTTGCACTCAGCCAAAACAGTTAACTGAGAACAAGTGATTCAAAAGTCATAAGAGTTGTTAGATAGAGACAACAAGATGAATATCACGTTTAACGACTATAGTGAGATCAGATCCAGCAGATGAACTGTCTGACATGCACTACACTCTCACCTGGGGTTTATGCTCACCCGCTGAACTACTGGCTGAAGGTCTTGGCAGTGTGTGTGTGGTCACGTGATTTGCGCTTTTAGCCGTGGACTAGAATGAACGGAGAACTTTTCAGAATCGCTAAATGAAACGCCGGTGTATTTCCCGCGATTTCTCTGCGCCTGCCTTGCGTTTCTTCTCTCTGACTCTCGACTATTTTGACAAATACACACAGACGACGCACGCTCACACAGAGTCCAAAATAGGAGTTTGTGATTGGGCCAGCCGGGAAAGTGCCCGGTCCGCCAGATGGCCAGTCCGCCCCTGGCTGAGATCGAACCGGCGACCCTGCACATGGGAGTCAGTTGCTCTAACAAGGAGGTTAAAGACTATAGCCTTTTGTTTCAGTCGCTAGTGCACCTTTAGAGGTCAGAGGAGTGAGGTTTACCTGCACAGCATTTACCAGCTGGCCTCCGTTACACTCACCCCCTAAACCTCACTCCCATCTGGGTCATGGCACCAATGTAACCCCGCCAGTCCTACACCATCCAACCCACTCCAAGCTGACCAAGGCTTCTAGTGTCTGTCGCTAGAGCACCTTTAGAGGCCAGAGGAGTGAGGTTTACCTGCATAGCACTTTATAGCTGGCCTCCGTTACATAAGCACAGTACAGTGTTAATGTTCAAACTGTTTATAATATAATGTAATGTAATGTGTTTTTATATAGCGCATTTATTGTGTATTGTATAATGTTTAAAGTGGCTGACAATAATAAATATTTATAATAATAATTAATCTGCCACATTTTTGAACTGTGCAGTGCTGCAGCTGCTTTATTAGGCCTACTACGCTACTGTATTTAATACCGGTTATTACGGTGGTACTAGGACAGACAAATTTTTTCTGAGGTGGTACTTGGTGAAAGAAGTCTGAAAACTGCTGCTATAGACCATTTTAATGTGGTGATGTCATTGGCCCTTGAGCATTTTCTGCTTGTTAACAAACCATTTCATATTTGTAACAAGCGGCAATTTAATCATAACTTGATGCTAAAACAGTTATCATAACGTTATTTAACGTTAATATGTGGCTCTTTTTGGATTCTCAGAAGCTCTAGACATTAAAAATGGGGAAATACACCTGGACCATTGTTTTTGTTTATATCCCACAAAATGCTTTATACAGGACCATAAAAGTAATATGAATATTAAAGTGTGTCTTGTTTTAGTTCCATGGTCTCCAAACTCGTGCGATGAGTGTAAGCGGGGGCTGTGAAGCCTCGGGTTGCTCCTGGTTCAGCTCTGTGCATGTGCGTGGGTCTGGTTGCGGGAGTGCGGTTCTGAAGAAGCGCGTGATTTCCTGCACACACGCCGTGTATCCCGCGCAGAACTGACTCCACTCACCTGACACAAAAAACATTACATATTTCCGTCTGTTATGCTACTACTGACTTTCTAATGTTAAATGTTTGTATCCCAGATAAAAAAAAAGTTGTAATAGTTTACGCTTCAAATACCATCAAATTTTAGCTATCAAACACAGTAAATATTAAATGTTTATAATGATTTATTTGACATATTTGCAATATAATCTTGGTTTTAGCATGCCACCAATATAAGGTAACAAAATGACAGTAGATATCCATGATGTTTGCCTTAAAACCAATACAAATCCTATTATAAGCAATAAAACTGTTAGAAATGTAATGCTGGCTTCTGTTGTTTCTGATTTTTCCAGCAGTTTAATACATACCTGTCAATCCTCCCGTTTTTCCCGGGATTCTCCCGTTATTTACAGTTCTATCCTGCCATCATCGCATAAAGGTATTTTCCCGTATTTCTTCTGTATTTTCAGTCTTTCTCTGAAGAGTCGAGCCTCCCTATATGCAACCCATACCGCCGAACCACCAGGGGTCGCCCCTTGCTCTTAAATGTGAGTCTGTTCTGTGCTTTCGTTTTGTTTGGGAATGAAATTATGAAAACACTTATAAATAAATAGAAAAAAATGGCGCAGCTCCCTTTCTTTTTCATTACAGGTGCCGTCGCCCATCCTACACAATCCTCAAAACAGTCATATAATGGTGCATGACTATCAGCTGACGCGCTCCATACTGATAAATAGACGCTGTTTCCAGGGCCGGAACAAGCTGAACTGCCGCTCTAGGCAAAGGACAGTCACGCCGTCCTTAACCCCAACCCTCTCTATTCTGCCGCGGTGTCATGTTTAGACGCGGATATAACGGTGTCGCAGACACCGCCCTCTCTATTAGTCGCGGATATTACTGAGGGAGCAGGTGGTGAGGGTAGTGTCGGGGACGCCGCCCTCTCTATTCTATCGCCCTAGACGAGGATATAACCAAGGGCGGGGGTGGTGAGGGTAGTGTCGCGGACTCCACCCTCTCTATTAGTCGCGGATATTACTGAGGGCGGGGGTGGTGAGGGTAGTGTCGCGGACTCCACCCTTTCTATTAGTCGCGGATATTACTGAGGGCGGGGGTGGTGAGGGTAGTGTCTGGGACCCCGCCCTCTCTATTAGTCGCAGATATTACTGAGGGAGCGGGTGGTGAGGGTAGTGTCTGGGACCCCGCCCTCTCTATTAGTCGCAGATATTACTGAGGGAGCGGGTGGTGAGGGTAGTGTCACGGACTCCACCCTCTCTATTAGTCGCGGATATTACTGAGGGCGGGGGTGGTGAGGGTAGTGTCTGGGACCCCGCCCTCTCTATTAGTCGCAGATATTACTGAGGGAGCGGGTGGTGAGGGTAGTGTCTGGGACCCCGCCCTCTCTATTAGTCGCAGATATTACTGAGGGAGCGGGTGGTGAGGGTAGTGTCGCGGACTCCACCCTCTCTATTAGTCGCGGATATTACTGAGGGCGGGGGTGGTGAGGGTAGTGTCTGGGACCCCGCCCTCTCTATTAGTCGCAGATATTACTGAGGGAGCGGGTGGTGAGGGTAGTGTCGCGGACTCCACCCTCTCTATTAGTCGCGGATAATACTGAGGGAGCGGGTGGTGAGGGTAGTGTCGCGGACTCCACCCTCTCTATTAGTCGCGGATAATACTGAGGGAGCGGGTGGTGAGGGTAGTGTCGCGGACTCCACCCTCTCTATTAGTCGCGGATATTACTGAGGGCGGGGCTGGTGAGGGTAGTGTCTGGGACCCCGCCCTCTCTATTAGTCGCAGATATTACTGAGGGAGCGGGTGGTGAGGGTAGTGTCGCGGACTCCATCCTCTCTATTAGTCGCGGATATTACTGAGGGCGGGGGTGGTGAGGGTAGTGTTGCAGACTCCACCCTCTCTATTAGTCGCAGATATTACTGAGGGAGCGGGTGGTGAGGGTAGTGTTGCGGACTCCACCCTCTCTATTAGTCGCAGATATTACTGAGGGCGCGGGTGGTGAGGGTAGTGTCGCGGACTCCACCCTTTCTATTAATCGCGGATATTACTGAGGGCGGGGGTGGAGAGGGTAGTGTCTGGGACTCCACCCTTTCTATTAGTCGCGGATATTACTGAGGGCGCGGGTGGTGAGGGTAGTGTCGCAGACTCCACCCTCTCTATTAGTCGCGGATATAACTGAGGGCGCAGGTGGTGAGGGTAGTGTCTGGGACTCCGCCCTCTCTATTAGTCGCAGATATTACTGAGGGAGCGGGTGGTGAGGGTTGTGTCGCAGACTCCACCCTCTCTATTAGTCGCGGATATAACTGAGGGCGCAGGTGGTGAGGGTAGTGTCTGGGACCCCGCCCTCTCTATTCTGCCGCCCCAGGCGGCCGCCTAGGTCGCCTCTATGGACGCGCCGACCCTGGCTGTTTCCCAAACTGATTCTGTACACACGATTTGAAGCGGAGTAAAAGTCTGGCTTTTGTGTGCGTGTTTAAACAGACAAATACACATAATTAATAATAATAACATATAAACATGTCGATCTTGGTAGGGTTTCTTTTCAAGCACAACTAATTTAGTCTTAAATGAGCATAAAAAGTAAGGAAAGCAGTTGAATGCGTTTTTAAAGTGACACCTGTTATTTAATATAATTTTTTTTTTTAAATAAATAAGGGATTCATTTGTGGCTCTTTAATCAGAATGTGTGAGGTATACAGTGTAGAAACGGCTAATGAGATTGATAGCTTGATTCTTTTTTATTATAATAGTTAGAAATTTTAATAAGCTGAACTGTTTGCTAATGTATTTGCTGCTAATGTATATATTTTTTCTTTTTTGTTAATAATCATTTTAAAACATATTACTGACCTTTTAACTGTTTATTTACAATGAAACTGCTCCAAATGAACATATTTAATAATTTGGGATTTAAAAAAAAAAAATTAGGAGATCCCTTATTATGGTGGGCATATCTCTTATTTTCACATCCCAATGTTGACAGGTACGGTTTAATAATTTACTGATGTTACCTGTTGTAGGGCAGTGCAGTGTGCGCAGATGCCGTACGGTGAACTCAAGAATTTCTGCCTTTTCCAGTTTTGATGACTGAATTCTCTTAAAGATACACAAAGTATTAGTCAATTGTTGGCGTGAATGTAGTTCTTAGACAGCGATCATACTCACGGGTGTCGCGTGGGCTTGAATCAGGAGCGTGCGCAGCTCTCTGATGCAGGCGTTTATGCGCGCGCGTCTCCGTCGCTCCATCAGCGGTTTAGAGATCTTCAAATAGGAATTGAAAACGATTGTATAAACATTCATTCATTTTCCTTCAGCTTATTCACTAAGTCAGAAGTCGCATGTTTTACGCAGCGGATGCCCTTTCCAGCTGCAACCCAGTACAGGAAAACATTGTATAAAAATTTACTGCAAAACATATGCATTAATTAGCAGGTTCCATATTTTGTGGTTTGGTTGCTTTCTGAAGTTTATTTATAAACTAATGTCGAGAGGATCGTGCTTATGATTGATCACAGCCGGTCCTGCATTATACAATTTATGATTGACCGATCAGATGACTACTAAGCCATTAAATATACCCTCAGTTCCATATGACATCTATGTTTGTTTTGAAAAATCCACCCTATACCCAGCCTGATCTCACGAATAAACGTAAATATTTTACGTTTTGCCAATTTAGGTGCTACGAGTTCAGTCGTACGAAATTGTACGATTTTAAAAAGCGTGGCATCTAACCCCACCCCTAAACCCGACCGTCATTGGGGGATGAGCAAGTCATACTAAATTGTACGAATTAGATCGTAAAAATTCATACGACTTAGCCACTAAATTAAAAAGTTATGAATTGCTGTGAGATTGTGTTGCCATACCCGTCCTCCCTTAGATGGGTGGCACGGTGGCCCAGTGGATAGCACTGTTGCCTCACAGCAAGAACATCACTGGTTCTAGTCCTTACCAAGCCAGCTGATGTTTCTGTGCTGAGTTTACACGTTCTCCCTGTGCTCATGTGGTTTCCCCCGGGTTCCCCTGTTTCCTCCCACTTAGGTTTAATCTTAAGTTAATCGACTAATCCAAATCAGCATCATAGACATGCTCCTAGAAAGTAGTTATTTCTTAAGAGTGATCATTATCTGTTCATTATCCACTACAGCAGGGTGTTTCTCCAGACTTACCTGAGCTCAAACTCCCCTCTCGCCTTATAAACGGGAGGGAGCCCCGGGTTCGAGGATCCTATGAGCTCAGGGCTCTCTCCCAGGACAGCATGCCAAACACACTTTATAATCAATCATCAGCTTAGTGTGAACTCTTGAACTGTTTATTTATGGTTGTGAATTGCATTATGGGAGTTTTATCTCTGCTCTGTGGACTTTTGGTGTTGAATAATCAACTCTACCGTTTAACAAAGTGACTTTTATTTGCATTTAAAAGCACTGTAAAAGTATTAGGTGCTGGATTGCACACAAATTCTTCAAGTTGTCCCAACACAAGTTGAATAAGTTTAATTGTTTTGATATTTTAGGAGATGCATCTCATGCCTCCAAAAGCCTGAATTACTAATATATATATATATATATATACTAATATATATATATGATTGAACATAATATGATAAGCTGTTTTACTAATAATTTGTGCAGTATTTAAAATGTACACAAACTTTAACTTGGGAATGAATCCAGTTTCAATTAAAAAATAAATAAATTGAATACTGTTAGCCCGCTTAAGTGATATTAGTTTTGGATTGTCTTACCACTGTTATACAATGACTTGCCTAATTATCATAACTTTACCTTAATAAACCTAGCTAAGCCTTTAAATGTCACTTTAAGCTGAATACTAGTGTCTTAAACAATATCTAGTCTAAAATCATTTACTGTCATCATGGCAAAGTTATTAGAGATGAGTTCTTAAAACTATTATGAACAGAAATGTGTTGAAATCTAAGTTAAATTGTGCATTAATTACTTTAATTACAAACAGAATTATAATTTCCCAGGAAGGCGAATAATATTGACTTCGACTGTATATTGGCTATGAATGTAAAGAAAATAAACATACACATATAATACACAAATATAATCATTTAAACACAAAAAGGCCTCACCTTAGACCTGCGCTGTGGGATGTCGGTCATTTCACCGTGATTTAACACTCTTTAAAATCTCCTCGCTTCAGCAGCAGTTTACTGTGCTACTGTTTACTATGTCCGAGTGTCTTATAAAGCCTGCGCAGGAGAGCTGGTGTCCGCCCAGATCTGTGGGTGGTCAAGTGCGTGTTTTATTCATGAGGCTTTAATCTGCGGCTTCTGCTCCTGTCAATCATGTGTGACTGACAGCCCATCAGACTCAGCACAGAGCGTACAAGAGGATTTACTGATATATGAAAGACAATATTCTTTTCAGATTAGTGGAAACTCTTCACCAGGAGAGGACTGGAAGATGTAGGAAGACAAGAATACTATGAGCACCTCCAGATCCCACACACCCCGGCTGGCTCTCAGATCTCTGCTTTAGTTTTTCCGAGTCCTAAAAAGAAAGTCAAATAAGTTCTCTGAAAGCAAGTTTGTTACATTTATTTTAATTAAAGAGATTTAATCATTATATAAACGATAAAGTAAATTTTAAATAAATAAAATAAAAAGATTTTATGAAATATTAAAAACTAAATTGCACTATGGAGTTTTTAAACTTTGTATTCTTAGGAAAATAAGCTTAATTTTGTGATTCAAAGCCACTCTATTTTTTATTTTCTTATTTTGTATAGACATCTGTCTGTCCATTTATTTACATACACTCACCGGCCACTTTATTAGGTACACCTGTTCAACTGCTCGCTAACGCAAATATTCTAATCAGCCAATCACATGGCAGCAGCTCACTGCATTTAGGCATGTAGACATGGTCAAGAGGATCTGCTGCAGCTCAAAGTGAGCATCAGAATGGGGAAGAAAGGGGATTTGAGAGACTTTGAACGTGGCATGGTTCTTGCTGCTAGACGGGCTGCTCTGAGTATTTCAGAAACTGCTGATCTACTGCGATTTTCACGCACAACCATCTCTAGGGTTTACAGAGAATGCTCTGACAAAGAGGGAATATCCAGTGAGCGGCAGTTCTGTGGACGCAAATGCCTTGTTGATGAGGCCAGAGGTCAGAGGAGAATGGCCAGACTGGTTCCAGCTGATAGAAAGGCAACAGTAACTCAAATAAGCACTCGTTACAACCGAGCTCTGCAGAAGAGCATCTCTGAACACACAACACGGCCAACCTTGAGGCGGATGGGCTACAGCAGCAGAAGAGCACACCGGGTGCCGCTCCTGTCAGCTAAGAACAGGAAACTGAGGCTACAATTCACACAGACTCACCAAAACTGGACAATAGAAGATTGGAGAAACGTTGCTGCTCTGATGAGTCTCCATTTCTGCTGACACATTCAGATGCTCGACTCACAATTTGGCCTCAACAACATGAAAGCATGGATCATCCTGCCTTGTATCAGCGGTTCAGGCTGGTGGTGGTGGTGTAATGGTGTGGGGGAGATTTTCTTTGGGTCCATTAGTACCAATTGAGCATCAACGCCACAGCCTACCTGAGTATTGCTGCTGACCATGTCCATCCCTTTATGAGCACAGTGTCTCCATCTTCTGATGGCTACTTCCAGCAGGATAACACAGCATGTCATAAAGCTCAATCATCTCAGACTGGTTTCTTGAACATGACGATGAGTTCACTGTACTCA